CAGACGTCTGGTCGTGTTCTCTTGAATCGTAAGAGCCGCTGCTTCCAGGCGTATATTAAGATAAATGGCTTTTAATTTGGTTAAACTTAAATCATTTTGGAAAACGGAACGGCTATTCTTAGAGGAACTTTTTGCACTTTCACTGCGGTTATGTTTGATGTGATAATTGTTTGTCTTCTGCCCTTCCTGCATGTCCTCTCTACAAGCACGTAACACCAGCCCGTCGTCAGGCAGAACGAAAGTGGGGCCTGGAATTGTTGCGCTTAGAGGGTTTGGGCGCAGTGGTTACAACGAATAGGAGTGAGGGTGGAGGGCGTTAGTGTGACGCGAATCGTGCTGCAATAGGGGCTATAAGGGAGAGGGGGGTGAACGTTAGCTTATGGGCCAGGTGTCAACGGGATGCAGAATCGGGGAAGTTCTGCTTGGCCGAGCACGGACAGAGCGTTGTTGTTTCACGCTGGGAACAAGTTAGTGGACCATGCGCGCAGACCTGTGTAATCTGAATTGAGCTCCACGTGCCTGTTAATGCTGTTAGGGCCGGAGTGCCAAGCTTCGAGAAATTATCACGCCCAACACTAGAGCAATTGGCACACGAAATGCAGTAGCACAGCTGCCTATTTCAGCAGGCATGTCTTCAGGGATGGATGATGTTAGTAGGTGGGATTCAAGGCTGGCTAAGAAGCTCGTGTGTGCAGCATCAGTGTAATTGAAACGTATTCCTTTAGAGGGCAGGCTGGTTTCAGCGGGCATTGCACTCCAGGCTTTTCGGTACTGTAGCAGCGAGCCTATATTTAAAAGGAGAAATTTGCTTACAGAAATTATCCCAGTTGAACGGATATCCGATGCGTTTCGTGGAAAGCTGTCTCCAACGTTGGAGGCAATTAGAAGATCGGAGCTCTAACGAAGAAAGGGCACAGAGGAAATTCTGTTCCTTACCCTACATGCAAACACTTTCTGAACTGATCATCCGACTGTCTTGGCGTCCTCCCTGAGCGCAGTCCTATTTTGCATTAAAAACCACATACCGAAAGAGCACCAAACCAGTGTCATGTACCACATTTCGTCTGCCAATTGCTCTAGTGTCTACATAGGACACAGAGGTTGGAAACTCTGGACCCGCATACATGAACACAAATTGGCCATTCGAAAACGTTACTCATTGTCCCTCGTGTTTGCGCACACTATTAATTGTGATCGCCGCTTCAGGTGGGACGGAAATGAAGTAGTCGTTACAGCTGACACAAAAAAGGCACGAAAATTTCTCAAAGCTTGACATTCCGGCCCTAACAGCATTAACAGGCACGTGGAGCTCAAATCACGCTGGTCCGCTAACTTGCGCGCAGCGTGAAACAACAACGGTCTATCTGTGCTCGGCCAAGTAGAATTTCCCGATTCTGCGTCCCCTCGACACGTGGCCTACAATGTAAAGTGCACACCCCCTCTCACTAGTAGCACCTATCGTAGTACGATTCGCGTCACCCTAACCGCCCCCCTCTCCGCACCCCTGTTCGATGTAACCTCTGTCTCCAAACTCTCTAGCGCGCTAATCCCAGCCCCCACTTTTCCTAAAGTCTCTCGATGAGTTGGTGTTACTTGTTTGAAAAT